GGGGAACATCTCCTTCTCCTTCGCCTTCTCCTGCTCCCTTCCACCTTAATCCCCTCCTCCTCCTCCTCCTCCTCCTCCTCCTCCTCCTCCTCCTCCTCCTCCTCAGCCGTTCTGGCTCAGGCTGTTGATGCCTGAGCTTGACGAGGCAAACTTCAGAGCGGCCTGCCTCGTCGGGCCAAAAAGGCGTTTTGAGATTTCTCGCATCCCCAGTCTTTCCGCATGGCTGGCGATGGATCCGTGCTCCGAGGCCCTCGTATGCCTCATTGGTCATGTTCACAGTGCTCCCGTACTGCGAATTGGGCCTGCCGTGTCAAATGTCTTTGTGGTGCTGCTGCTCCTGGCCGTGTGGCACAAACAGCCCGCAAAGCTGAGAAGGAGTGGGGCCAGCGGCCAGCCCCATCTGCTCCGAGACAGCCGAAGGGCGCATGGGCCAACGGACCGCCGACGTCTGACCTGGTTGCGTCCATCACGGCTGCGATCGAGAAGAAGTTCGACCAGAAGTTCAAGAGCCTCAAGGATCCGAAGGCTCAGGTTCCCGAGGCTGCTGGTGGCGACGCTGCTCCTCCTGGCGATGAGCATGAGCAGCGTGGCGCCCGCATCGACTCCCTTGAGAAGGCTCTCAAGCAGCTTGGCGATGTCGACTCCGCCGACCCTGCCAGAGCTTGCCTCGAGGAGCAACTTCGTGCTGCCCGCAAGGCTCAGCGAGAAGCTAAGCCGCAGCTGCAGCAACACACCAACGTGGCCTTCAGGCTCCAGGCGGCGCAGCGCAAGCAGACCAAGGCTGCTGAAGCCGTCGCTGCACAGCAGAAGGTCATCGAGGCGGCTCAGAAGTCATTACTTGAGCTGCAGGAGAAGCAGGCTGCATGCCAGCGTGAGGTGGCGGCCCTGGAGGAGGAGCTGCGCCGCACCATGCCAGCAAGCCCTGGCACCAACTCCCAGTACATGGATGTCAAGCTGGAGCTCCCCACGGAGGTGCTGGATGACGAGGCGAACGCGGACGTCAAGCAGCTCTTGTCCAGCCCTGCCTTTGCCAAGCTCCAGGAGCTCTGCAGAAAGGCTTCTCCTCACCCGCCCCCCGCCGCAAGTGCTGAAGGCGGAGGCGACGGGGGAGGTGGGGCTGCTGCTGCCGCCGACCTTCCTGCTGCCGCAGCACCTTCTGAGGAAAAGGATGCTCCCATGCCGCAGACCCAGTACTCGGGCTTGTCCGCGGATGATATCGATACCCTCTTCCAGACTGAAGATAAGCGTGAGTTTGAGGAGCAGCTGGCGGCTTTGGGAGTCAAGCGGCAACGCACGTCGACTTCCTAACCATCCCTACCTGAGCGGTCTCCCAGTTTCGTCTATGGGCCACATCGTTCCGCAGCACAAGGGTTCAAAGTCGTCTTCGGCTGCTGCTGCTGGCCCACAGTTTCTGGAAACGTTCAATGGTAATTGCCGAGCTACGCTCCTCGAACGATTACGATCTAGTGATTCGATGGTGGTTTGTGCGCAGGAGATTGGTACTGGCCCTGATGCAGTGCCTGACCTTCAGCGTGCCGCCCGCACCGCAGGTTTCCGAGCTTTATGCAGTCCGTCGCGATGTTGTGCTCGTGGATCACACTCAGCGGGGGTGGCCATATTTGCTCGGCAGCATCTTGGACTGCGATGGAACCCTACTGGTGGTGAGCTCGTTAAAGGCCGACTAATTTCAGCAGTTGTTGATATCCCAGGCTGGCCTGAGCTCGTAGTGTATTCTGCATACTTTCATGATAGTGTTGGATTGGACATGGCCAATATGAACCTGTTGTCGGTGCTTGGGGCCTCCATCAACCGCTCTGCTGGATCGTTTTTGGCAGCTGCTGATTGGAATGTTGAGCCTGAGGTCATCGAGCAGAGTGGATTCACGCGTCAGGCTGGACTTATCACTATGGCACCAACTCGGCACACGTGCATTATGTCGGCATCGGCTAGTACGATCGATTTCTTCCTGGCATCTCAGGACATCGTCAGGGCAACCGAGAAGGTTCGTGTGTACTCACAGTGGCATGGAGGACCTCACAAGCCCGTCCGACTCCACCTTCGCCCTGATGCGGTCAACCTACGGCAACTGGTCTTCTGTGCGCATACACGTTTCCCTGTACTCCCTCCCTTTGGTCCACGTCCCGAGCCACGATGCTGTGTGGCAGCGCGACAGATGGCGGACGAAGCAGTGTACTCAGCAGAGTTTGATTCGGTGGGCACAGCGTGGGCTAGGCTCAATCAAGCATGGACTGTTTTTCTCGAAGATGCCGAGATCGAGATTGCAGCTGCCTTGGACTTCCCCATCCAGAAGCTCACCAGGCATAACTATCTTGCACGACGATGGGTACCAGTCTTGGGACGTAAGGATCACGCACAGGATCCGATGCTCATAGCTCGCGGGTGGCAGTGGCTGTACCGTGTGTGGCATGAGTTTGAGCTGATGGTTCAGCAGCGAGACGAGCTTCACCTGAACACGGCTGCCATTTCTCTTAAGCAGACTAGTCTTGTGGAGAATTACCCTGGCGAGGGCTTGGACGTCAGGCTCGACTCACAGGTCATCGCTTTGAGACAGCTCATCCACGAGTACCCCGAAGTTTATCCTCATGAATGGTGGGAGCGGGCTACTCTCTTTGGTGAATATCTGTCTGTGGAATTTGAAGCAGCTACGAAAGAATCATTACGCTTACGGCAGCAGACGTGGACGGAGTGGTGCGACACTGCCCTCAAGGGTTCGGCCAAATTGATGCATAAGATCACGCGACTCCAGAAGATATGGTGCCCCACAGTGATTCAGAAGGCTCCTGGCATCTACTCCAGCAGTCCCGAGGAGGTGCTCAACTCGGAGGTCGGGATGCTGCAGCGACAGTGGAACGCATCGACGTCTCCCCCACGGGCTGAAGTACCTGATCGCGAATGCTTCCCACGGGCCACTGCTGATGAGTTGCGGAGTGCTTCTCGGTCCTTTTGCCGGTTCACGTCATCGACTTTGGATGGCTTTCATCCGCGACATATATCGCTTTTGGGTGACCCAGCTCTGGAGACCCTCAGTGCATTGTTCGAAGCAGTTGAACGACTAGGACTTTTTTCCTCGTCACTTCATGTGGATGGTATTTCCACTTATCGAGAAGCCAGCGGGAGGGCACCGTTCCATCCTCTTGCTGGCCAGCTTTGTTCGCGTATGGGAGAGGCTCCGCCGTCCCATGCTGGATCCTTTCTTTGCGGCCACGGAGAGGGCCTATTGGGCCTTTGGGACTGGGAAGAGCGCGGAGTCATGTGTGTGGGCCCAGACGGCCCTTGGAGAGATTGCCGCGGCGGATGATCAGGTGGTCCTGGGGGTCCAGTGGGACGGCAAGAAATACTACGAGTCTTTCTGTCTGGAACTCCTGCGCGATCGAGCACGACAATGGGGTATCCCAGGGGTGATTGTAAAAACGATGTACAACCTCTGGCGCTCTCCGCGGCTGATTAGGCTGGGCATCTCCTTCCATCCAGTTGCACTTTTTGCTCAGAGCGGTCTACCTGCAGGGGATATTTTCAACGATGCGTTCGTAAAGGTATATGCGATCGGGGCCTTCGACGCGTTTACGGCTCGCTTTCCACATCCTATTCGGCTTTCGTCGTATGTTGACGATGACACGATCATGGCGACGGGTACTAAGGCTGAGTTGCTCAGATTGGTTCCAGATGCGGCTGAGGACTTTTATCATACGTTTCGGGG